CCTCCCGACGATCGTCCTCAGGGGGTTTCTTCCTCCTTCTTTCCCCACACACCCTTCGTTCCACCATCCCACCTCCGTGGCATTAGCAGCATCCCGAAAATGCCGAATGCCYCGTCGGTCCCGGACTCTTGCAATCTGCATCGAACGTGCCCTCTTACCCTGGGCTAAGGAAAGCCTGCGCAAKAGCAGGCTAATACATCCGCCCGAGCGAATACACGCTGGTTATGTATCAGTTCGGCAACTCCTGGGTTTTTAGTCCAGATGATGCGAACAGTTGCACGTGTCCTGTGGATAATGCAGGGTGGAAGTTCACACTTGTCCAACTTGTCGTTAACGAGCTTCCTAACTTCACACAACTTCACTCTGTCGTCATACACCAATCTAACGACTAACGTTGCATTCATGCTGAATCCAAAACCATCCCGAATGACGCGTGACAGAAGGCGTCTCAGATATGCTTGCGTGGACAGTTGCTCGAAGTTTTTCGTTGCCCCAAACAAACCGTCTAACTCTTCCAAAGTCCAAGAGCGGAACTCGTCCAACTTCCTCGGGTTCTTTAGGAGGGCGACCACGGTGGGTTTATACTTACCTGCTTTAGGATACCATCTGCGAAGGTATCTAACCTCGAAAGTCCCACCCGACTCAAATAGTGCCTTGCATTCGCGGAAGCGCCTTGCCACCCCATCGATTTTGATAGATGTTTCCCCGAATGCTCTCCTCAAACGCCGCCAAGTGTCACACCACGTCCGTCCTCCACTTGATTCAAGTCGAAAAGTACTGTCCTCACTACTTTCATGCTTCACTAGCAGGTCAAAGATACGAATAGTCGGTTCCTCCTCCTTGACCCAAAAACGGATCGGTTCCACTATCCCCTGCCTAGTTCCGTCATCAGTCTTCTTCTCAACAGCAACACTCCGCTGTCTCTCCTTCTTCCCCAACCGTCCCCTTCGCTTCTTACTCCCGACTCGCCCGGTCGTGTTCAGATAAGGCGACCATCTCTTGATATAGGTCGACTCTAGTGTCACAAATCCTCATTGGTACAACTGTCTACTGGTATTAACGTGTAGGTCTTCTCTCCAAAAGCTTCCCACCAGCGGTACAAGTGCGTCGATTTCCGTCGGTTAGAGAGTACAAGGGGAGACTCTGCCCGTTTTGTGTGGCGTCGGCAACCATTTTACAGTGACTTTGGGGTGATGCTGTTCGCTCGGCACGGCAACAGCGGTGCTTTTTGGCGGTGACTCGAAAGCGCTGCCGATTTTTTTGCGGCGGCGACAATGAGATTTTGGCAGCGGCGCAGAAGCGCTGCCAGATTTTTGCGGCGGCAGCCCTGGTTTTAACGAGAGTGGTGGGGAAGCGCTGCTGGTTTTTCACGGCGGTGGCAACAATATTTTTGCACTGACTACATAAAGTGGTGGCTGGGTAGTGGCGCAAGGAAGGTGCTGCTGAACTGGTAGTGCGTTTTGAAGCGATGTGAACGTGGCGCCACAGTGACGTGGTGACATTTGGAGGCGAGTGACGGCGGCATTGAGACGCTGTCAAGTTGTTGAACGTGAATGTGTGTTGACAGAGTAATGCGGCAGAAGGTTGTCACAAGGGAGTGGTGTGGATCACTTTGTTGACGACTTGTTGTGACGACCTTCTCATCAAAAAGCGCGATTCTATATAGGCTTCGTGAGTGAGCCGGATTAAACTTCACTCAAGGTCAGTGAGTTGAATGATCCAGATTTTCCCTTCACGCCTGTGTGAGCCCGCACTTGCTTGACCTTGTTCATTGAATGTTCATTGAAAAGGCAAAGGAAATGTGTGTTTGCATAAAAATGGTGAGGTCTGACTTGAGTATGGGATTGCACTGGTTTTCTCTTGAACTTGATGTTTTTGCATATTGTGCAGGTAGGTAGAAGGATGCTTGAAAAGAAAACTAATTATGCCGATTGGAGAAACGAGAAAAAAATTGTCTTTTCTTTACTTTTCAACCGCCTGCATGTCAAAAACGATTCAATGTTTTGAAAAACTTCAATTTTGTCTACACCATAAAATGAATTCAATTGAAATAAAGCAGTTAAGGTCAAACGGATTTAGCTTTCTTCCCATGATTGACTTTTTCTACCCCGATCGACCTTATCTACCTATACTTGTCCAAATGATTCTCGTTGTCTATCTTCTTCAGTTTCTTTTTCATCTAAGTTACCCAAAACTTATGAGTAATGAAAATGAAAGAAACCTACTTATGGTGGACACAGTCTTTACCTCTAGGAAGCATCCGAGGCGGGGGTTCGTATGCTTTCGGAGCCGGCCCCGTTATCGACTTGGAGTCGACCCGATTCGTTGGGGGTGGTGCTTTGTCGACTCGGTGGTGACGGCCCAACCTCTGAGATCCGAGTCTTCAGGCTCGGGCGAGGGGGAGGAGTATCCACAAGACCACTTCCTAGAGGTATATGTGTATGTCGGAGGCAGAAGAAGCTCCAACCCACAAGAAGAAGTAGGTAATGAAGGTGATGGTTCTCTTTGCACAGTGATAACGATTGCGGTTTTGTTTTAAGTAACTTGATGATGAAGAATGAATACTTCATGATTTAAGGATCGGGAAGAGTGATTATTGCCCAGGAGGACAAAGCGACCAACAAAATTTTGATTCGCTAGATTATACTTTTCTCCAAGCAAGTTGCATATGGTACGGAGGTGTGGTCGAACCGAGAGTTCAAACTTCGGCCAGGAACCATATCACTTGTCGATCTGCATGGTAGCAGTGAAATTTACTTGCAGAAGTCATTCGTGACAGGGTTTAATTAGTATCGACAGACCCAACCGTAAGTTAAAGGTTAGATTGTCCTTCCTTATCTTTCGTCAATATTGGGCTCTGCCCAGAAAGCAGCGGTATAGTAATCGCCTCAGTCATATAGGCCGGGAATAATAACTTTGGCAGATCATCTCATCAACTCAAAATCCTATCTTGTGTGATTTGATAAAAATGTGTTGATTTATTTTGTGATCAGAGAATTACAAAGAGACTAGGATTATATGGTGGGTTTCACGTTTGGTTGAGACCGTCATAGTCGACCGACTTTCTTTCATACCAAGGAGATCAGCGCCCTAGGGAATGAACAACGTTCGGGTCCACTTGGCATTAACCAAGCGTACCTATACTCCAGCGAGCGAGCAAACGCCCTAGGTTGACCTACCTTTGCAATTGCACGTAAAAGCTTTCGCACGTGGGTCAGTAGCTCAGTAGAGATACATCCCTAAGGGTGGTGACGGCCCCTGAGGGAAGGTAAGATGTGCTTCACGAAAACCTATCATGTCGTAGGGGACCGTGGGATGTACAGCTGGCGCACCCGGTTAGAGTGGCGAAGGGGCAATGCAACCGCGTTCGTCTCGGAGGTTCGGGGGATTATTTATGCATCGTCCTAAGTTATCTCTGGTTTTATTTTCATTTTAATTTCTGCGTGACATAGCTGGGAGGGCTCCCGCGCTTTGCAAAAAGGTGGGAGCCGATGCTCTCGAGAGGTGGCGCCGTTGCCGGGGACAGCGGCTATCTACCGTTGTCTCTGGCGGAACGACGCTCGGGTAATATTATTGAATAACACTTTGAAAATATGATTGAATATTTTTTGAAGTCTGGAAATGATCTAACCACTCATTGTTCTATTTGAAAAAGTGAGTGGTAATAATGATTTTTTTAATCAGCTAGTTAGAATTGATCTTATTAATATTGAACCGATAAGATTCAAGGTTACATGTTCCCCCTATTGATTTTTTTTATTAACGAGTATCTTGCCTCTTGCATGACACCACAATGAGGAAAGGAACATTTGCTTATATGAGTCCTCTCTTTGAAGGCAGCGATGTCGCTGAATTCTTGAAGGCATTTCATAGTTTGGCAATGCGGATGATTTGGTAAGAGCATCATAAGTTTCTTTTTGTCTTGAATTTTATCGCTGAAAGGTTGAAGTCTGATATTGAGTTTCTTTCGCGAGCGTTTGAGATGTGGGTTGAAATTGAGAGGCTAATGCTAGCCAAGTTTCTGGAATCCCTTGAAGATAGAGTGCAGAAGGGTAAAAGGAAGTTAGACAGTAAGTCTGACCAGTTGGAGCAACCTCGTAAGCTTACTAAAGCTGAAAGGGTTACACGAAATCTGGTCCGAGGAGGACAAAGGACTTGTTCGAAAGCGAAACAAGTTATAGGTCGACATGAATTGCAGGAGAACATTCGCACTGCTTCAAATGAAAATTTGAACCAGGATGAGTGCTTGAATCAGGGAGTGAAGGCAAGCAAAACTTCTAGGATTCGTAAGCTCTGAAAATGCATATAGTGTAACTTTTGGGGTCGTAAAATAAGATTTTGTAGACGCCTTGACTATGATATTAGAGAGGGAATAGTATGTAGGCGAGAAGGTGGAGTCTGAAAAGATTGAAACCATATGTCCGTCTTCCCTATTCAAAAGGAAGGCAAATCTATTAGGGATGTTTTTTTTGATCGCATGTGGGAGAGATTGAAGAATTAGAGTAAATATCGTATTTCATTTTCATCCTTCGGTCGGTCGTCATTACTACTTGAGTCGGGGGTACTTATCATTCGGATACCTCGGTTATCTTTGGTTTCGGTATAAATTTTTTGGGTTCGAGT